TGAATTTTAAATGGCTTTAGAAAATACGGATGACATCTATAATCTGTATATGTATAATTATACGGGTTATGGGTGTTACATATGATATGAATTGAGAAACATTTACATATCGTTTTAACCAAGAGGGAAATTCAACCTGATGTCTTTGTTGCAAGCCAACGTTCCCTTGTTCATGAATTTTCACCATATGCATTCTATATATTCAAAAGAATATATATATATATAATTAGGAAATCATAAAGTTTAATAATATTTAAAGTTTACATGTACTTTAATGACAAAAATTAATTTACTTTTAAGTACTTTTCTATCTCTTCACAATTGATAAGTATATACCATTGAATCATTCTGAAATCATAATCGAACAATGTATCATATATTGTAACTTCCAAAGTTCTTGCTTTTTGTGAAAATATAGAATACTCATAAATATTACAAAAATAAATATATAATTATTAATCTATATTACTGTATCGTTTTACTACACTGGATTAAATAAGTGATACGCAACGTTTGAATTTAAACCATTTACTGCTAAACTCACCGTTTTGTAATAAACCAAAAAATGGTTTTATATTCCCCCTATTATATCCTCCCCGCGAAAAAAATCACCCTCATTGAATCAATATTTGAAATTTGCAGTCAAGGTTTTCAGAGAATCTCCGATTCCGATGCAACCTTACAGGACTAAAACTGTTGATTTGATTCGCATTTGGGGCTTTTGCGTCGACTTCTGATTCTGTTTGTCAAAAGGTAAATTTATATTTCTTTCTGTATCTACTGAAACATGGGATTTCTATTTTCAATTTCCGCCTTTCAATATACGCAGTTAGTTTCCAGAACAACAAATAGATGGTGATATTTACATCGAATTCTTGCTCAAGTGGAAAGCGTAGCGGTTTTCCTGGTAGGTTCAAATGTGTTGTTGTACTACTGTTATGTACCACTGTACGATCTTATTACACTTCATGAGTTAAATTGCTGTTCATTGTTAACATGTTCCAAGAGTTGGAAAAACCTAAGGAATTTCTATTATCTTAATGTTCAATTATACGTGAAATCCCCCTTGTTCTTCCATCAACTATTAGTACCCATGTTATCTTATGTACGGGGTTATATCATGTTTTTAGACAAATGCCCCTAATTGAATATATTGACAATTAGGCAGTTTGTCAAGTAAAAATTATGCAAATTCTGGCTTCTGTTAGTGTTAATTATTATTATCATTGTCTTTTTTTTTTCCCTTTGGGAGGTGGGGTTGGGGGGACTGCAATTTTAAGCTAAAGGCAGCATTAGGTGCACCGTTTCTTGTAGACAACTAACACTTTTCAACAGCCTTTCCCTAGTATTTTAACATATTCTCTTACTTAAAACCAAATTGTCAGGAACGTATGGGTATTTCTGATATTTCTGTCATTGCTGGTAAGTATCTACCCTACACCTTGTCTATTTTTTTATGCTTTGTTCATTGAGAATCATATTCTTTGCAGCAAACCACATGGGTATTTCGGCCTAAAGTAATGTCATGTTAGGGTAAAGAAAACCTTATGTAGCAGGAGCTGCCGATTGTTGTACACAATTGTACCTATGATTTTTATGATTGCCGCTATTTTAGGTTCTCTTTAATTCATCTATAGATTCATGAAATCTAGTGTTCATACATAACTTGTGGGTTAGGGTTTGCAAATATTTAGTATCTTACTATGCAATTAGACGTCAAATGCTCATTGTTTCCTTAACTGCTAGAGGGACAATTCTCTGATGTATGAGGTTATCTCATGTTTTTTTTATATAAATGCTGCTAATTGAGGATGTCCACAAGTAGTAGGTTTGACTTCAATCAGAGTGCACTAGAAGCACCAATCCATATGTTCTCAAAAACAATTGAACCTTATTGCATTAATCAATCCAAAATATGTTCTCCAAATGCTAAGTATGAAGTGTGCAAATTAGGGGGTTCGAATCGCATACCTAGTCTAGCTTGAAGTAAGCTAGATTGTTCCACTTGCAGTGAATAATCCTCCGACTTTTCATTTGTTCTATCTTAAGTAAATCATGCATTTAGTCACAATAACATATTAAATTTAGCTAAAATAAAAATTTATGTTAAATTTATTTCGTCACAATATTTTCTCATAATAACAACTTTTGACAAATTTATTTAGTCATAATAACAATTTATAACAAATATTAATTCCTCGAAATAAAAAATTATGACAAATAATATTCTTTCACAATAACAGAGTGTAACAAATTTATTTAGTTACAATAACATAGTAAATTTAGTCAAAATAAAATTTTATGTCAAATTTATTTTGTCACAATATTTTATCGAAATAAAAAATTATAAAAAATTTATTTAATCAAAATAATAATATATAACAAATATTAATTTCTCATTATAAAAAATTATGACAAGTAATATTCTTTCACAATAACAAATTGTAACAAAATGATTTAATCACAATAACACGCTAAGTTTTATCATAGTAAAAAATTATGTCAAATTTATTTTGTCCCAATATTTTATCAAAATGAAAAATTGGGACAAATTTATTTAATCAAAATAACAAATTATAACAAATATAAATTTCTTATTATAAATAATTGTGACAAATAATATTATTTCACAATAACAAATTGTAACAAAATTATTTAGTTCCAGTAAAAAGTTATAAAAAAATATTTAGTGATGAAATAAATGTAGTGAGAAAATAAATTTTTTGTATGTCTTTTTGTCACGAAAACATTTTTTGTTTGATGTTATAATTTAACTTAATTGTGACAAAATTTACTTTTTGTGATAAAACAATTATTTTATTTTAACAAATATTTTGTATTTGTAAATTACATTTACTGACAAAATAGCAATTGCGATAAAATAATTTTTGTTGTCTTATGTATTTTTGTCACAAAAATCCTTTATATTTGATGTTTAAATATAAGTTAGTTATGATAAAATGTACTTCTCGTGACGAAATGGTTAATTGATTGTGATAAATATTTTATTGTGATAAGCTAATTATAGTAACGAATTTCATTATTACAATAAATACTATAATATGATAACGAACACAATTTTGTCACAATATACTTTACATGATAAGGTTGTTCTAATAAATATGGTAACAAATAAAATTGGTCAGAATAAATATATCGTGACAAATTTAGTACTTTTAGTGATAAATAATTTTGTTGAAACAATCTAAATTTCTTGTAGTGTGTGCCCTTGAGCTGGGGAAATTGTCGGGTAAAGAGAGGAGTGTAAAATAAATTTTCTTGAATGGAAGCTTTGAAGCAACTCCTGGGAGAAATGGGTGGATGTTACTGAAGTTGCCATATATAGTTTCCAAGTGTTTTTCTGGTTCAAATGGCTCAAGGAGTTGGTTCCATTGAAGGATTTTATACATAAAAAAAAGTAAACTCCAAGGTTTTATTCAACAAGTTTCATCCCCCACTATGCCTTGTGTAGCTCAACGTATAATCTTTTTTAATACCGCTGAAAGGTCAATTTATCTTTTCAGCAGCTAGAAAAGTAGCCATTGCTGCTTTCCATGGAAAATCTAGTTACTGGCCGGTATTCATGTTATCCCAATTTTCAAAGTAGAGTAAGTGTTAACAACAGATATTGATTAAGTGGTAAGTAGTTTAATATCACTTAAGTAAAATCTTAAATTCGAGTCTTTATGTGTGTATAAAATATTTGATGTGAGACTTACCCACCAAAATTAAATATGTAACATTGGTCGATCCGAATTGTCCAATCATGAAACATGCAGCATGTTAGACCCTCTCTTCTTTCTTTTCTTAATTATATTGTTTTGTTCGAACATATCATCCCTTGATAAGCTGAAAGTGGAAGGCAATCAGGAAAAGGTAACAAAAAGCAATACTAACAAAATGCTAAACTTTATGATGAGGTGGTTCAAGTGGTAAATGATTTATTATTTTTTAAGTTGTATGTAAAAAATCTCTATCCCAAAACTCACCTATTAAAATTAAGTGTACAATACGAATCAAATCAGATTAATAAAGATAAATTCTTACAAAATCAGGAGGGAAAAAATGCTAATGTCGGATAAAGGGGAAAAAGAGAGGCAACGAGATTAAGGTTATGACGAGACTAACCCTTGCATTATTTTATCTTAAATAACTAACCATAAGGAAAAGATCAGCATCCAATAGATAAGGAAAATGCAGTTTATAGGTAAAGGAAGATGCACTATAGAGGTATTAGTACAAGAACGAGTTTTAGAATACTGTCATAGTATAAAAAATTATTATTATAAATTTTAATTTGAAATTAAAAAACAACAAAATCCACGTAAAATTAATTATTATTTAAAATAAATAATATTTATTTATTTTCTTTATCTAAATTTAATCTTTTGAATAGTAAAAACTACCAAATAAGATTAATTTATTATTAACTAATATAGAGGATAGATAATACCCATATCAAAAGTGATATAAATGTATACCACACATTTCTATTATTTCGGACACTAAAATGAGCATTCTTAGCTCTTAAAACACCAAAAATGAGAGAATAAATAGGTGTTCAATTATTATATACATAGATTCGTTTACGAAAATGAAAGAGTACATCCTAATTATCAAATAAATATGAATTAAAATCATTATCGATCCAATCGCATATATTCTGAAAAATCAATATCAATAGGTTGAAATCTCTTAATCCTCGAAAGGAAATGGAAAGGGCTAGAAGTTTTGGTCAGCAAATTTCTATTCCGGACACTAAAATGGGTGTTTTTATCTCTTAATACACTAAAATGAGAGAATAAATAGGTGTTCAATATCAAATGGTTGAAAGTTATCTTTAAACATATATTGTCTTATACTTATCTCAGATTAATAAAAAAAAACCAAGGGTAGATAAATTAAACGGGTTGGATAAAATGAAATATCACACTTGTATATATATTATTGAGTAATAATAAATTAACTGAAAGAAGATAACTCCTACACAATTACCACAGCTACAAACCACGGGCGACGTACAATGCACAAAGAATTTTACAGATTTATTGACTAATAAAAGAAAACACAAACATGATGCAATCCTTACATACATTCAGTGTCTGCAAGAGCAGTTTGAGTGAGATGATTGATGTCTGGGCCATCACATCACATGTAGGAAGCATTTGGACATGGAGGAATACATATATCAGTAATCCCTTCCAGCATCAGAACTACAGTCTTTATTGAAGGACGAAGAGCTGGTTCATCTTGAATGCACCAGAGTGCCACCATCACCATTCTTTCGAAGCTTTCCTTGTCCACTTGTTCATCACCCACAAGCTTATCCACCTCTCTTTCAACCAAACATCTAAACACCAGTCTCGACAGAATTATCTCCTCTGGTTTTGACACATTGGTGTCCAAGTTTCGTCGGCAAAACACCGTTTCCAGTAGCACAATTCCGAAACTGTAAATGTCGGCCTTCACCGAGATCGGAGTGTTTCCATTCCATTCTGGTGCAATGTACCCTCTAGTTCCCCTCACTACTGTGAATGTCCTTGTATGATCTCCCATCAACAGTTTTGCCAGCCCGAAGTCTGAAATTTTAGCTCTCCATGAATCATCCATCAATATGTTTTGCGGCTTTATATCACAGTGAATGATTGGTGTCTCACATTCTTCATGTAAGTAGAGGAGTCCTCTAGCAACATCTAGGGCTACTCTCCTTCTTTCATTCCAAGATGGGCGCCTTGTTGACTTGAAAAGTAGGTCTGCAAGGGATCCATTGCCCATGTACTCATACACCAAAAGCCTTTTGGAATCCTCGACACAGTATCCCAATAGTCGAACTAAATTTCTGTGGTGAGCTCTACCGATTGCTCGTGTTTCTGCTTGGAACTCTTTTTCACCTTCTTCCACTAACTTTTCCAGTCTCTTCACGGCGATCGGCTTTCTTCCTCGGTCTAGAGTTCCTTTGTAGACTGCTCCAAACGATCCCTTACCCAACTCTTGTTTAAATCCATTTGTGGCTCTCTTGAGTTCCTTGTATGAAAACGACGTCAACATAAGCTCTCTGGTTAGGCCCAAATCTCCCAGTTCCAGCAGCCTTTTGTATCTTAGAACTCGAAATTTATAGATGAATACACTAGAGGTTGTAAGCAAAGCACATGAACATGCAACGAGAATGGAAGATAAAACAAGAATCTGCACGACCGAAATTTCCCGTTTGATTAGGAACTGCGGTGGCTTTAAATCAGGGGAAGTAGTGTCGTTTTGTGCTTCAAGGCTTATGATTCCCACCTTCAATAAAACAGTGGGATTCATTTGAGCATCGATATCTCGTAGCAAATACCTGAGTGGAAGCTTTTGTTTCTTGCAAACTCCTTTATCGAACTGCGCTACCTCGCAATTGCAGTCTTCCAGACATGTTCGGATGCAGGCATTCTTGCTCAGTCGCTCTTTACTGTAAAATGTACCCAGTAGTCCATTCTATACCTTGCATTGAGGTGATGTTATAAAGGGGTATATTGGCCTTCCCTCCTTTGCAGTGCGCTTCCGAATAATTTCTTTTGCAGCCGATGGTGTTCTGATTAGGATCGATAAAATCAGTCCCGGGAAGGCATGCACAGAAAGGCCGGTTATCATTGAAGGTGCAATAGCTGTTGAAACCGCAAAAGCCTTTAATTTTACAGGAATTTACCAACGCACTCCGCATTGCGTAAGTTTGGAATCCACCATTTGGCTCAAACACATGAGCATATAACCGGAAATTCCCATCAACATCAAGGCTTGCACTGTAAACAATACTCTTGCTGTTGTTGCTTCTGCTCTCGTTGAAGTCGCTATAGCTCTCCTCTTGATTAGATAAATGAATTGTTCTGTAGACGGACGAATCAATGTTGTTGATGAGTTGTAGGACGCCTGTCGAGTTAAGGCGAAGCGACAAATTCGCCACATTTGTCACATAAGTTTCTGCTTTCCAATAGGCAGTTGTAGGAGAGTCTTCGGATTCTAGAGGGTATAGAACAAGATTCCCATCGTTTTGCCTTCTGAGATGATACATTCCAGCTGAGGGATCATTTTCTGATAAACTGGAGATCAACTGGCTATTGGCTAACAGACTCTGACCACCTAAAATGGTATCTGTAGGATGCTGGAAACTCTCCCAAATGATATGATTATCTTTGTTGTAGATAACGAAATTGCCTGAATCTAGCATGGAGGCAGAGTAGGCATCCGAGTGGTTTTCATTAGCAATAAATATCATCTCTCTGCACTCAGCCGTCGAAACAATCACTCCTATCTCATTTAACTTCAGTGTAGCATCTGAAGTGAAGGGCCGATCATCACGCTTTGCTGTCCATATAACTTTGTTAGCCTTCTTTCCATTGCCGTCCAACCAAACTCCAACATAAAGGCCATTGCCTCGATTGTAAAAACCGAACGCAAAGCGACGAGAAGGCGAAGTCCATGAGGTTGTTTGAGTGGCCGAGGAAAGAGAAGCTCCCAACGGAATGATGCAGCTTGACTGCTGCACACACAGAGAAGAAAAGAGCAAAAGAAGAGCCGACAACAAGGCCATGGGAAATAATCTGTGTGTGTCTCTTCTAATTTGGAACTGGTACAAATAGATGGCTGAGGTCTCGAATAAGAGTTTTCTATGGAAAAAAATTGGAAACAGCTGAGTTTACTGTATATTGTCTTTTTTTTCTCTTTCCAATTAATTCGTAGGACCAACAAACGTGGAAATATTTGCCTGCTAAGTTCTTGCGCACTGCACACTCAGTTATTGCTGGTCTACTCACACAATTATTGAACCAATTATTTATAGCCTAAAAATAATTTAATTATTTACATAAATATTATAAAAGTATAACAATTTAAATGGCAAAAATGCCAAATAATGCAATATGGAAAAATTATTTCCCACAGTAACGTGGTTCAAAAATTATTTCTCCATTTAGGGTATTTTCTAAAGTACACGTTTAAAGACCTCAGAATATCTTGACGTTTTTAGGCTAAAATTTTATATACATAATCCATGGGATTACTCGACGTCTTTAGTTAAAGTATGTAGAGAAAAGTCTCTTATTTCTCAACGTCTTCAGCTCTGCATTCTTTCTATGCATGTGGGGGGAGATTCCTCTGCTGCGTTAAATTAGAAAACAAATAAAATAGGAAGGATGGGAGACGCAACTAACAATAATTGAAGATAATTAAAATAAAGCAGAGGCCTTTGATTATATGTTAAACAACTTTCTTATTCTTCCAAATTTGACATGACTTTCCCCTACTATGTTAAACAACTTCCTTATTCTTCCAAATTTGACCTTACTTTCCCCTACCTATGTTAAAAAACTTCCTTGTTCTTCCAAATTTGACCTGACTTTCCCTACCTATGTTAAACAACTTCCTTGTTCTTCCAAATTTGACCTGACTTTCCCCTACCTATGTTAAACAACTTCCTTGTTCTTCCAAATTTGACCTGACTTTCCCCTACCTATGTTAAACAATTTCCTTGTTCTTCTAAATTTGACCTGACTTTCCCCTACCTTTTGGGTTTTTATTATCTTCAATTATTGTTAGTTGCAGCCCCACCTTTCCTATTTTATTTGTTTTCCAATTTAAGGTAGCAGAGGAATTCCCCCACATGCACAGAGAAAGAATGTAGAGATGAAGACGTCGAGAAATCAGAGGTCATTCTCTACCTATTTTAACTAAAGACATCGAGTAATTTCCATGGATTATGCATATAAAATTTTAGCCTAAAAACGCCGAGATATCTTGAGGTCTTTAGGCGTATACTATAGAAAATACCCTAGATGGGGAAATAATATGGAATCATGTTACTGTGGGAAATAATTTTCCCATACTGTATTATTCTAGTGTAATTTTAATAAAAGTTAGAAAAAACAGTGCAATTTTATTCTTATTATATATGATAAATTATACTATTGACCACCTAATTATTGCTCTTTTCATTTTGACCGCCATTTTTTTATTTTATTTAAAAAAACTTTTTATTTTTATATTTAACTTATTAAATATATTTTATTCTTATCTTCACTAAAAAATATATTTTATTTTATCTTAACTAAAAAATATATTTTAATCTTATCTTAACTTAAAAATATATATTTAATTTTTATCTTAACTTTTAAAAATGTATTTTATTTTTATCTTAAATTGTCACATATATTATATTATTAATTTTAATAATTTAAGTATTATTTATTATTATTTTAACTTAAAATATATATTCTATTTTTATTTAAATATATATATATATATATTTTTCTTATTTTAATTTTAAAATATTTTATTTTTATCTTAATTAAAAAAGATATATTTTATTTTTATCTTAATTTTAAAATATTATAAGAATAAAAAAATAAATATTTAAGTAGTATCTTTCCACCTATAATTTTTTATAAGCTTGCTTAAGTTTGTAGTTTGAGCATGATATTTGTTTAAATATACATTTTGTAACACCCTCAATCCAGTTTAAATAAAAATGTCACGAAATTCATTCGAAACCAAACAAGAAATGAAATCATGCATATCAATCAATTTTATCATTCAATTTCTCTTACTAACCAATTATTAAGCATTCTTAGCTTAAAATCATGTATGGGGACTAAATTGAATTATTTAAAAAGTTCAAGGACTTATTTGTAATTAACACAACTTGAATATTTCCATTCATCATATGATATTAGGACTCATTCAAGGAATGATGAAAATTTCTGCAAGAAACCAAATAGATGGCCGACGTCTCCAATGAGTTTTCTATGGAAAAAGATTGGCAACAGCTCTGGGTTGACCGACCGGATATTAAGTCTTTTTTCCTCTTTCCATTTAATTGGTAGGACCAACAAATATGTGGAAGTATTTGACCTGACTTTCCCCTACCTTTTGGGTTTTTATCATCTTCAATTATTTTTAGTTGCGGCCCATCTTTCCTATTTTATTTGTTTTCTAATTTAACGCAGCAGAGGAATCTCCCGCACATGCAGAGAAAGAAGTAGAGCCGAAGATGTCGAGAAATCAGAGACCCTTCTCTACCTATTTTAACTAAAGACGTCGAGTAATCCCCGTGGATTATGCATATAAAATTTTAGCCTAAACACGCCGATATATCATGAGATCTTTAGGCGTGCACTGTAGAAAATATCCTAGATGAAGAAATAATATTGGAATCACCTTCAATCCAATTTAAATGAAAATGTCACTAAATTCAGTCGAAACCAAACAAGAAGTGGAATCATGTATATCAATCAATTTTATGCTTAATTCTCATTCAATTTCTCTTACTAACCAATTATTAAGCATACTTAACTTAAAATCATGTATGGGGACTAAATTGAATTATTTAAAAAGTTCAAGGACTTATTTGTAATTAACACAACTTGAAAATTTCCATTCATCATATGATATTTGGACTCATTCAAGGAATGATGAAAATTTTTGCAAGTAACCAAATAGATGGCTGAGGTCTCCAATGAGTTTTCTATAGAAAAAGATTGGCAACAGCTCTGGGTTGACCGACCGTATATTAAGTCTGTTCTCCTCTTTCCATTTAATTGGCAGGACCAACAAATATGTGGAAGTATTTAGCACGTCGTTGCCAAAGAACCGTTTTGCTATTGCTAGTTCTTGCACCACACCCACCTATTGCTAGTCTACTCCTTACACAATTATTGATCTAATTATTTATAGCATAAAATAATTTTATCATTAACATAAATATTATAAAAGTATAACAATTTAAATAGTGTAATCTTAATAAAACATAGAAAAAAATAGTGTAATTTCCTTTTTTTTGGTTTTTTGGTAAAATAAAAATTTAGATTATGGGTGGCTCTCCCAGTCCACAGACAGGACATATATAAAACTCAATTGTGATTTATATAGAAATTTACAGATTATCCACCAAGAGTGACGACGGTAAGATTCAAACTTGGTCTCACAAGCTCATATTCATGAATCTCAACCACTTGTACCAACACTCATTGGCAGTGTATTTTCTATATTATTATATATTTTTCCATGAAAGACATTATATTATTGTTTTCTCTTTTGTAACTATTAGAAATTTATTTTACTAGAATTTATCTCTTAGTTTACATTACATTCTTCAACTATATTAAATAAAATAACTCATTGAGTGATCTAAGTGGTAGAAGGGAGTGTTATTTTCGCTAAAGGACTCGTGTTCAAGCAGTTGCGTCGATAGGGTATGTGTAGACGTTATCATTGGCTAACAAAAATTTTGAACAGATATTATCTTATAATCACCCCAGACTATTAGAAAAAACCATCATACATTACATGAAAATCATAATTAAGACAAGTACTAAACCAAAAAACAACATTAGTTAAGTAGTAACATGGGAAGTGATGGAGATGGAGGGATGGGTACATTCATTGTTCCTTCCAGCATCAAGGTCACATTCTTCATCAGTGGACGCAAAGTTGGATCATCTTGAATGCACCACAGCCCCACCTTCACAAACCTTTCCACCATTCTCATGTCCACCTCTTCTTCACCTTCCACAAGCTTGTTCAACTCTCCCCCAACAAAGCAATTGTATACCCATGTTGATAGCAGTATCTCGTCTGCACTACAAACTTGTACTTCTATGTTGCTTCTGCAGCATATGATCTCCAATAGTATCACTCCAAAACTGTATACATCAACTTTTTCCGATACCGATGCACTGCTTTGTCGTTCGGGTGCTGAGTACCATTCTGTCCCTTTGGTCCCGGTGGTACTTCTTGTATTATTAGGCCTCAATAGCTTTGCCAATCCGAAATCCGAGATCTTTGCAGTCAATGAATCATCCAATAGTATGTTATGGGGTTTGAGGTTCCAATGGATGATGCACGCCTCACACTCTTCGTGTAAATAAAGAATACCTTTAGCCACCCACTACAAGAAATTTCGATTGTTTCAATAAAATTATTTATCACTAAAAGTACTAAATTTGTCACGATATATTTATTATGACCAATTTTATTTGTTACCATGTTTGTTAGAACAACATTGTCATGTAAAGTATATTGTGACAAAATTGTGTTCGTTACCATTGTATAGTATTTATTGTAACAATGAAATTTCATTACTATAATTAACTTATCACAATAAAATATGTGTCACAATCAATTAACCATTTCGTCACGAGAAGTACATTTTGTCATAACTAACTTATATTTAAACATCAAATATAAAGGGTTTTTGTGACAAAAATACATAAGGCAACGAAAATTATTTTATCGCAGTTGCTATTTCTTCACTAAATGTAACTTACATAGACGAAATATTTGTTAAAATAAAATAATTATTTTATCACAAAAAGTAAATTTCGTCACATATAAATTAAATTATGACATCAAACAAAAAATGTTTTCGTAACAAAAATACATATTAAAATAAAATTTATTTTCTCACTACTTTTATTTCGTCACTAAATATTTTTTATAATTTTTTATTGTGACTAAATAATTTTGTTATAATTTTTTATTGTGAAAAAATATTATTTGTCACAATTTTTTATAATGAGAAATTAATATTTATTATAAATTGTTATTTTGATTAAATAAATTTGTCAAAAGTTGTTATTTTTAGAAAATATTGTGACGAAATAAATTTAACATAAATTTTTATTTTGACTAAATTTAATATGTTATTGTGACTAAATAAATTTGTTATAATTGATTATTGTGAAAAAATATTATTTGTCATAACATTTTATATTGAGAAATTAATATTAATTATAATTTGTTACTATAACTATTTAAATTTGTCATAATTTATCATAATAATATATGCTATCACTATAGTTAAAATTTATAACAACAAATATAATTTGTCACAAAAACGTGAATATCATTATTTTTGTGACAATGTTTTTTGTAATAATTATAAACACTTTTAGTTACAAAATTCGTCACCATATAACTTTTTTTACGCAAAAAAATATGAAGGAAAATCTTTGTGACAATATATTTTTTCATTATAATTAAAATATATAACGGCAATAACTATTTTTTACTCAAAACTTGAATTTCATTATTTATAGTGACAATTTTTTTTATAATAATAATTATAGCTTATAGTTACAAAACATGTCAATATATGATTTTGTTTTTGTACAAAAAAATAGAGATAATCATTTGTGACTATACATTTTGTCACTATAATTAAAATATATAATTACAAACAAAATTTGTCACAACAAATCTAAATCTCATTATTTATTGTGACAATATTTTCTGTCATGGTTACTAAAACTTTTAGTTACAAAAGTTGTCACTATATGCAATTAATTTGGCGTCAAAAAATTGGAGGGAAACATTTCTGACACAAATTCGTAATAAAATTTATTTTATCACCATATGTTACACATATTCGTTAATTGTGACAAATTATTATGACGATTTTAACTTTTGTCATAATTGTATATCTTTATTAAATCTAATGTAACGATTATTTATTTTATCACCAAAAAATTACTAATAGTGATAAATTTAATTTTGACAAAATAAAATTTATCACAATAGTAAAAATTTCTTGTAGTGACGGCCAATGCAATTCCGGCTCTCTTTCCAAACTGGGCGTCCATTCATGTTGAATAGAAAGTCTGCCAGTGAGCCATTGCTCAAGTATTCATAAACAAGGAGCTTCCTTGAACCTTCCACACAAAAACCTAGCAATCGAACCAAGTTCCTGTGGTTAGTTCTTCCGATAACTATCATCTCGGTTCGAATACGATCCGTTACTCCTTCGTTAACTTTCGGCAATCTCTTGACCACAATACTTTTACCATCCCCTGGCAAAATTCCTTTATAAACTGCTCCGAACGAGCCTCTACATAACTCATCATCGAAGCCATGTGTTGCTTCATCTAAGCTCATTGAAAGTGAATGATCGTAGTGTAAACTGCTCGGTTAAAACTTGACTTGTATTTTCTGAAAGCTTCTCGTAACTTTTGACTCTAAGCCTGTATAGCAAGAAGCTGCACAACGCCATCACGAAAGACAAGCTTGCAACGGAACCCAGACTTAATCCCACAGTTAAAATCAGGCTTCGGTTTGATTGTTTATCAATGTTGGCCTGATTTCAGATGAGGAACCAACAATCACCTTGATGAAGGCTGTAGTGTTTATATTTTCATGTCTTTTACCAAATTTGAGCGGTAGTCTAATCATGTTGCAGTTTGGGATAGAATAGAGAACCCCACCACAGGAGCATTCTTCCTCGCAAGCTTTCTTACACTCTTCCTTGTCCAAATTATGCTTCACATAATTAGGATCACCAGCCCACTCCATATTCTCCAACGTAGTGATGTTGTACTGTATCAATAGATCTTTCCTTGACTCGCACCCATCCACGGTAAAATTCTGAGAGCAGCTCGGGATTTTGGTGTTCTCTAAGGTGAAACCAGGATAGCAATAGCACCCGAAATCGTCACCCTTGCTGGAGCAGTAGCTGTTCAACCCACAGTGACCATTAACATCACATACATCATCCACATCCTGCCAAATGTTTGAGATGGTATTGTTTTCAAGTTGATGGGAGTACAGTCTGAAAATTCCGTTAGGATCAAGGCTTGCTCTATAGATGATCATCGTTTGGTTCCCAGTTGTAGAGCCATTCGCCACAATCCTTTCTCCGTAGAGATCTGATTCTGAAGACATTGTTAGAATGCCTCTCTGTTGAGATTTAACACAGAGAAAGGATAGCCATAGGTACGAGTGGACCAGTATGAGTCAATAATATCAAGTTCGGCAGAATTATTTACATAAGCTACAAGGTTACCATCAGTCTGCATGCTCAGCAAAAACTGACCACCGGCGTGGTTTGATCTTGACACACTGGAAATCAACTGGTTATGATCTCTTGTTAAATTCTGGCCTCCTAAGATTGTGTCGGTCGGGAAATCAAAGCTCTCCCAAACAACAGACCTGTTCTGGTAGAGCACGAAATTCCCCAAGTCCAGCATACAAGCCGAATAAACAGACCCCGAGCTGGAAGTGTTAGCAATTATTTTCTGTGCACCGTTCTCAGTCCTTAAAGGCAACTTGCCTTGTGCTGTGAACTCCAAAGTAGAACTAGCGGAGACCGGCGGATCATCCCGATTTGCAGTCCAGACAGTGGTGTTTTCCGGGCGGTCGACAAGCCAAACTCCTACAGCATATCCACTGCCTTGCCGATAGAAACCAAACTCAAAGTGGCCTGAAGGTGAAGGCCATGATCTCTGGTGTTTTCCGGCATATAGAATAGAACCTGGTAGGATAATATTGGACTCGTTTTCTTGAGCTATGACATTAACATGTAAAGAAACCACAACGAAAAGCAAGAGAATGTGTGACAGTAGATGAGCCATATTTCGGATGGAGATGAGAAAGAAGCCCTCTTTGCTTTGCAAAATATTTTCACCTTGATTTTTCGCAACCAAAGTTGAATGGAAATTTAGGCGATGTTCATAAAATCTAGACTTAAAAAATGTTGGGGGTAAAGTTTCACAAATGATCCATGACTATAGGATATTATTTTGTTGAGTCACCTGTGTAGACACCCGTTTTTGTCCGGGTCTTTTATATTTATTTTATTATTATTATTTATTATTATTATTATTTATTATTATTATTATTATTATTATTATTATTATTTACAATATACATATTTTTGTAGGCCAATCCCGAGGCCCATTCTCGAAGCCCACCAAGAACCCAATAAGCTCACCCATCAGCCAAACCCTGAACCTAATTCACCATAAAGCTATCATCTAACAACCAACTGCCACAGTCGTTGGCCTTCCATCTCCCAGCCGTGCTTGAGGCGTCGATGGTGAATCCCGAGCCGGTCGTCATCAGCAATCTGGTCACACAGTGAAGCAAATGTCATCAACAGTGTATCAAACTTACCCCAAATCTAAAAACCCATTAAAATAACACCCAAAAATCCCGAAAAATCTGGACTTTATTCACCCAAATCAGAGAAATCAAATCCTATCCATAGACCTCATCATCTCACCCAAAAAGAAGGATTTAAAAATCAACATGCATCAAAGAGAGGGGATTCGGGTTTTGAGAAAAAAAATAAAAATAAAGAGAACTAAAAAAAATCCTTACCAAAAAAAAGGAGTGTTGATCATCGCTTCACCGGACCAAGAGCCTTTCATCTCTGAAGGTAAGGGTCTTGTGTTGGTTGGGGTTTGGTTTTGGGGTTCTATTCTTTTTGTTTTGTTGGAGAACAGAGGCAAAATGAGAGAGGAAGAGTAGAGAACGGATGGGAGGGGGGAAGAATTGAAAATAGGGTTCCCAATATTTTAAGGTGGTATATAGCAACTTAATGGAACGACACAGTATTGGATGCTAGGATTCCATGTGTTGGGTGTATGGTTTAATCGCGTCAAAAGGGTCCTCATCTTGTAACATTTTAATTTTAGTCATTAATGAACTTTTACTTTCTTATATTTTGAGCTTCCATTTTGTTTTATGTTATAATTCCATCCTCATCTGCGTTTGTATTTTTATGTTCATATTTGAATTTCAGCCATCCTACTTTAATTTGTTTTTATCTAGGTAGTGTATGTTTTCATTAATGCATTTCAATCACTTTTTTTTTACATTGTTTTGCTTTTGGTCAAGTTTATGATGATGGCATGTTATTTTATTTTATTTTATTCTAATCCTGGATATTGTTTTGTGGTTTATTCTCATTTTTGGTCATCTATTGTTCGATATATTTGATTATTGTCCCGGTTTATTATTGATTTTGCAGTTTAGAATTACAAGTTATTATTAATATCTTTTAGCCCTCTTAATTACTATATATGTGTAATTACCTTTATTTGTGGTCTCGTTTAAGGATTTTATATTCTCATATTAGTTTTTTACATATGTACATATATTTGAATATATCCATGACTTGTATATATATATATTAATGTTATGTAGTCTGTATATAGTGTTGTACTATACATTTTATTACATGCATGCATGCGTGTATTATATATACTTACCAAACATTTAGATTTTTTTTTATATATCGAATAGTTATATGCATAATAATATATTTTAATTTTTTAGGATCATGTATATATTTATTTAACATATTCCGATCTTCATATATTTATGTATGTACTTAGAGCTGATATTTTGAACAATCTCAAATGTTTGTTTAATGATTAATATGTTTAATGTCATTTATTCGAATACTTTCAAGAACGTCTTTTATAGAACGGACGTGGAAAGTATCACTTGGTCGAAGTGATGCAATCCTATACGACGTTCAAACAGAATGAAAAAACGCAAATTCTTCCTTTTACGAGCTTATAGAAATTATTTTTATTGTTATTCTATTTTTTGTTATTTTATTTGATGTTCATATTGTTTAATATTTAAATTTTAATCTTTATTATTATTTCTTCATTGAATCTTAATAGTGATGTATGTTTTGGAAAAATAAAATATGATGTATTTTATGTCAATTTTCGATATTTTTTTAAAAGAGAAAATATTCTTTACAAGTAAGAAATAGACGAGGTAGCTTTCCCGACGGAGGATTGCAAATCTCGGGATTTCTTGTCGAGAAAAGGGTTTTTTTTCTTTTATTTTAACTAATATTCAATAAATAAATTATAATTGATTTATCATTCTTTTTTTATAATTTTTATTGTATTAATGGTTGTTATATTAATATTAACGATACAGGTTTTAGATAAATTAAGCATATTTTATTTTCTACTCATGTCAATATTATTTAGTGGTAATTCAAAGATGGAATATACTTTATAGATAAGAAATGATGAGATAGCTTTCCCGTTGGAGGATTGCAAATCTTAAGATTTCTTACCAATTGAAGTATTTCTATTATTTTAACAAATATTCAATAAATAGATCATATTTTTACTTCTGCTTCAAATTTTAAGTTCCACCATTTACGACTATATATAAGTGACTAAGTACCGATTTTGGGCGTTGTGAGGGGTGTTTACCCTTCCCTATACGTAACCGACTCCCGAATCTGTTTTAAATGAATCTTTGGTAACGTAGACCGAATTTTTGTCTTATAAAATTATTTTTCTTAAAATTGTTTTTAAAAGACGTTTTTAGGTATTCGACCTACCTAACCCAAAGGTCGATGGCGACTCTTTTCAATTTTATTCAAATCCGTTCAAAATCACCAAATCTTTTAAATTAAAGTCATAATTGTGTTTTTAAAAATAATAAATAATTGTTTTAAAAAAATGGTTATGACAGCTTGGCGACTCTGCTGGGGAGATCTAGAGAGTCAGGCTGTCGGTCGCTTATATATGGTCGTTATGGTGGAAATTATAAGTTCGAATCTTTAGTAAAACTATGATCTATTTATTGAATTTTTATGTATTATTTTTATCTCTTTATTTTTTTATATACTAACATTTTAATTGTTTTCATTTTTTTTCCAGATATTTCTTAGTTCTCGTTGGGTGTTATTTTTTATTTTTATTTTCCCTGTTTTTGAGTCAAAGGTTTGTTTGTTTCTCCTCACACACATCACTTTCATTAGCATAACATGAGCTCTAGACATGAGTTTTGATCCAAATTAGTTAGGGTGATTGCTTTACTCTCGTAAGAATTTATTCTTCGTATGAGTTTTAGCAAATAACCCATGGGATACATACCTTATACCTTCGTAGGAATTTATTCCTCGTATGGGTATAAGGCAGTGACTCCCCTCGAATTGAACTCGGTCCGTTTGAAACCTGTAATGGGTGAGGATTGAGGGTTTGGTAGCCCAAGGGGGCACTGACATCAAGGACGATTCGAGTTCCTTTTTTCCTGTTAGAGCTGAAACCATGCATATAGTGAACCATAGAACGGTCACACTAGGTAGAGTCATACTGAACCTCTGTCCGTCAATAGGTACCCAAAATAGGCGTACACAATGGAGAAACCCTCTAACCTTTTTATTTTATTTTATTTATTTATTTTTGAGTGTGTAGAATAGATTTATTCTTTTAAAGCATGTGAAATAGAATTTAGGTGCAGTTAGAATTTAATTAATTTAGGAGGGTAGAGAGCATGTTTGGGTAGGACCCTTTTTGAGGAATATTATTCGGGTAGATAATACATAAATAGAATAGATTTATTTCCCGTTTTACTTATCTTTTTATGTTAAATTTATGCAATTGTTTTGACTAACTGTTTTGTTTTGTTTTGTTTATTTTTTTCATACTGCATAGACATATCATTAGAAAAGGCGATTGATCTGTGAGTATCGATAAAGTGGAAAGACTTTCACGATGGAAAGGAGTTTTCTAAACAAAGAAGTGAATCCAGCAGATGTAAGGAACTGGTCCGAAGCCAAGCAGAAAGAGCAGGGAGATAGTCTATCAGGGAACTACGTGTCGGATCTGTCTGATTATACACCAGCTTCTTTAAAATAGAATGAGCTTCAGGGATTGAAAACAATTTGGGAAAGTTGGAATCTTATTGAGAGGCAAGCTTTTCAGCAGACTTATGGGGATATATTTCATATGATATACGTGAAGGTAGACCCGGTTCTCATACGATGCATAATACAGTTTTGGAATCCGGCCTATAGTTGTTTCACATTCAACCGAGAGGACATGACTCCAACCCTCGAGGAATACCAATTTCTGTTGAATTTTCCAAGCGTTAAAGTAGACAAAGTTTACTCCCGATCGATAAAAGGGCCTTCTTTTAAGTCAAAGCTTGCAAAGATCTCGGGCACAAGCGACAAATGGGTAAATGATCGCTTGCAACGCAAGGGAGAAAGTGAGGGAGTGCCGTGGTTTCACTTACAAAAGATAGCTGAAGCACATGTAGATGAAAACGTGCGTAGAGATGTATTTGCTTTGGGTATATATGGTTTGGTAATCTTTCCAAAATGTTTGGGGCTGATCGAGCTAGCAGTAGTCGATTTGGTTGAGAAGTTAGGAAGAGAGGTGAATCCAGTCCATGCAATTCTTGCTGAAACTTTCCGATCTTTGAATATATGTAGAAGGTTGGGGGGAGGTCGTTTTATGGGTTGTGCTCAATTGCTTACTGTGTGGATCAGAAGCCATTTCTGGAAGGAAGAAAAAGTCAACTATAACCGTTTTTTGAAAGATTATTCTCCTGTTGCTGAGTACCTTACGAAGGAGTGGCCTGAAGTATCTCAGAAAGATCAATGGATTGATTTCTTCCGGAATCTACAAAGTCAAAACATAGCATGGCGAACACCGTGGCTGATGCATACACAAATCTTGTTCAAGTGCGGAGATTTGGACTGGATCATATTACTGGGACTGTGGGGAGGAGTGGGATACGCTCCTTTGTTGATATTGAGACAGTACGGTGCCCGACAGTTTGTTCCCGTGACTCATGGGTTGAC